CCTTTCGGTTAAGACCTTGTTAACCACTAGTACCCCCCGTCCCCCCCCCCACCCCCCCCCCCACCCCCTCCTCTACCTCTGCCTATTGGTATTTTGGCTCACCTATGAAAGAGGTCACAGTGCCAAATTGGATGTTGCACCTGTTGGGTTTATGTGGCCTTTAAAAGCCTTATGAGTACCTGTAAAATGAAATAATATAGTGGAACATGAACTCAGTGGGAGTGTGGTCCCTCGTGGACCATACTAAGCAAACGATGTTTGCTGATACCGGACTGTGCTTGACGATCTAGGCCAGTCGGTTAGAAAACCCAAGGTATCTGGGCTTAAAGAACAAATCGAGAAGGGTTCTGAGTTATTCATTGATGAGGTCGGAGCTTATGCCTGGATGAATGAGTCGAGGGACTGTGTGATCCTTATGTGTGATGGTGGGCCTACAGAGACGGGGGCCAAAACCTCATCCATGATCCATCACACAACATGCATATCGATAGATCATTTGGGAAAGTCAGATATCCACCTTTTAGGGTGAAGCGTATGTATATGCGAAAGATACCCCTATGCGCCATAGAGTTGTGGTCGGAAAAGGTCTTGGTGACCTTGACTCATATTTAGGGGAGGACCTGTAATCCACAGACTAGGATTGCGACCCCTTGGCTCATCGGCCAGATTTTGGTGACTCGCTAATGAGCCCCTGCTTGGACTGTGGGTCATGGGAAACACTAAATCGGTCAGATAAAGCAAGTGTGGTCTGTAGTCTACAGTTGAAGGTGGAGTGCCTCATGATTGTTAATTCAATTCTTAAACTATATGGATCTATTTCTCATCATATTAAGGTAATTATGTTTGTTTTATAATAGTAATTATTTTAGAATTATTATTTGAATTGTTATGAGTTTTTTGATATTTTATTTATAATTTTTGAACTTATAAAAATAAAGTTACTGATTTTACAAAAGTATAAAATTCAAATAATATTTTAGAAATTAATTTGTTAAATATCATGGGGGCTCATAGTATACATGGGCCCACCATGTACCATGTGGGTGGGGCCCACACGTGCCACACATGGGTGGCACACCTCACTTCTTGGTTGTTTGTTTTGTTGTCAAGTTATTCAAATTTAGGAAACTTATGTTGTGGCATGTGATCTAATATTAATATGGAAAAGATAGACCACATCTTATCCTAAATATTGAAAGCATATCTTGACGAGACATATCTTTGAATAGTATGGGAAAGAATATGTTATTTTATGGAATGAATAATATTTAAATAAGATTCAATTTATTTAAATAAATTGATGGGAAAATAGTTTAAAGAAAAGGGGATAATGGTCCAAGCACCTTCTATAATGTGGATAGCCCATCTATGGAATGGATGGCTCAGATCTCTCACCACACAAGTCACCTTGATCAACAATTCATATTCAATCTCAATAAAGAGACAAGAGAAACCCTAAACCTAATTTTTCTCTATAAATAGAGGTGCACCCTCTCCCTATTCTCTACATTTTTCTCTCTCCCACAACTCTCTCTCTCCTCTCGCTCCCATAGGGGCAAGCCCCACTCTCTCTCCTCTAGGTCTCTCTCTCTCCAACTTTCTCTCTTTAACCATCTCTCTCCTAAGCCTCTAGAGGGGCACGCCTCAACCCTAAGTCTCCCACTTTCTCTCTCATGCTTTAAAAAAACTAAGGGTTGGGAAATTAGGGGTAAGCTAAGAAAATTTTGGGGCTAGAGTTTGTAGAGATTTAAGGGTGAATACTCAATTTGGCCGAAATTTGCTTTTTCGGTTCAAGATTGAAGCTAAACTATTGATCTCGCGCCATCAGATGTTGGTGACTCAGTATGGGGTGTAATAAGCCCGGTTGAAGTAATCTCCGGCACTCTCTTTTCTTTGTTTCTTGCTAGATTTAATTATATTGGTTTTATATTCCCAAGCATAAGAATTGTGGATATTTTCTTTGTTTAAAGAAAATTGGTTTAATGGCATCAAGGTTATAAAGATATTGGATTTGTTAGTTTTATTTTCTTTGAAGCAAAAAATATTGTAATAAGACTACTTGTAAAAGATCTTTGCCAAAAGAAAAGAAAATGGATGAAAAGAAGAAAAAAAAAAAAAAATTCCCCGTCAAGATCGTATTAGTCTTTCTTTCGGCACCCACCTACCAGAGGAAGATGAAATGTTGCATCACTTTTAGTATATTTGCTTGAGAGTCTCTGTTTTGGTTAGGAATTGAAGTGTTTCAGCTTCATCTCATACAGGAGATATCTTAAAGTGTATTTTAAGATTAAACAATATAATTAGCCTTGCCTTGAAATGTTTTTTATCCATAATATTTTGGGAACTTTTGAACGCTTTATGGATGTAATAAAATAAAAGTTTTAATATTTAAAGGAACTTCTAGTAAATTATGGATCTATGGAAGGTATATTTGAAATAGCATTAGTGATCTTTTTCAAAATACTGTGGGTGTGATTCGCTACTTCAGATGAGGAGCTAACGCAAAAGGCTTCAGCTAAAGCGAAGCAAATTTGCGCAAGTTAGTGGAACCTAATCTAGTTATCAGAACATTTTTGTTTTTTGTGCCTTATATGCTTTGCCTACTTTAGTAGGATTTCAAAGTTTTGCTTTTTGATGGTCATTTCGGCTCCATTTTGAAATGGTTTAAGACTTTATTGCAACAATGTTCCCTTGCAATTTTAAGGTGTTTTCTTTTGTTTTGCAAACTTCATCTTCAAAGTATTATTTATCTTTTGAATATGAAATAACATAGACCCCCAGGCTGGATTTTTGTAGGACATTTCTTGGGTTTGTATACGTGACCCTTATGAAAGCATTATTGATATGCCTTTTGGAGGATTATTATTGTCTTGTCAAACGGTTGAAACAGAAATTAAGTATCCAACAAATACAATGTTTTGGCACGTCGCACTCTCCCACAATCTAAGCCAAAACCATTGATTGGAGGTGTTGAGGAGGTTCTTGATCATCGATCCATGCGGTTATGAGGATCACAATATGCATTCCCAATTTTCTTTTGGGGCATGTTCCTATTTCTAGGATTGTTGTCATTCAAATATATTCTCCTGAGTCCCATAGGTTATAAAATAGTTAATAAATAAAATAGTTAATAAATTAATAAAAGTCACCAGTCAGCGCTTAAAAAAAAAAGAAAGGAAAGAGTGGAGGTTTTTTCTGTAATAAGTCTCTTCAGTAAAATATTTTGTTAATTGTTATGCACTTTCACAGTAGTTCTCAATGTGAGCTCCCTTTCTTACCTTATTTCTCTGTTTTTGTTGCTGAAGTTTACCTCCACTTTTTCTTGCTCTTTGCCTTAAGAGGATGAAAAAATATTCCGAGAATGGAAAAGAATTGATGGAGGTAAAAGTTGATTTAGAGGTAGATACTCAAAAATGTTCCATGCATTTGAAGGATGAAAACATAAGTTGGTGTTCAGAACAATATAAAACATAAGAGTTAGTAAAAGTATGTACCTTTAAAAAATATGTGTTTCTATAAAGGCCTAGGCCTTACAAACAAAGTAAAGCCTCGCTATAAAATCTGTCCAGAAAGCACTTCTAAGTATAAAAAATCCTTTAGATGACTCTAAAATCTATTTCTACTATCGATTATGAAACTCAAAAAATGGTTGTGGATCTGCAAACACTTGAAAATGGATGGTATAGATAATGTGTTACTATAATCATTATTTTTAAGGCTTGAAATCCAATTTTTTTTCACAACCATAACGATCAAGGTCAGTAATCAATTGAAAAGATTTCCAACTCCATAACTATAAAATTTTGATAAGTTTTGAATTGAGGCTTTTCTCTTTTTTCATTAACCCTTGGCTTTATTTACATTCAACAAAAAAAAAAAACCTTGGCCTTATTTTAATCTTTCCCTTAAAAAGCCCATTCTCATTAGGTTGGGGATTGATAAACAATGGGTGTGAGTTCTAATGTCGTGTGCCATTTTCTCAAGTGTGTGGAGGAGCAAGTAAGCATAAGTTCGAGAAATAATTTAATAAGGAAAAATTTTATTTTAGGTTGAGTTACCAAACAATCAAACTAAGATGCACCTCAAAAATTACTAAAAGAATTTGCTTTAATGTCAAAAAAACCCTTAAATCCAATCATGTCGACCTTGAGATATGCACATGAAAAAAAAAAAAAGACTTCAAGTCTTAAAAATAGTGCAGCTTGTAACACATTATCTATACTGTCAATTTTTTAGATTTTTAAGTATTCATAGATTTGCTTGATCTACAATATTTTTGGAACTTTAAATTTTATAATTGGAGATGAAAATAGAATTGCAGGCCATCATAAAAATCTTCGATACTAAAATAACATCTTTCAACAATATTTTAATATGTGCCTTACTTTGATTGTTTAAGGTCTCGGCCCTATGCAAACCGTACCCTAATAATAATAGGAAATTAAAGTTGAAGTCTAATGAGGATTGCCAGGCTGTATAATAACAATGTCTAATAAAGAGTCCGTGTCACATCAATTTCTAGTGGCTGACCTAAGCTCTAGATAGATGATGAAACAAAAAGACTTTGCGAAGAGATAATCCCATGAAACTCTTTGAAAACATTTAGCCATTACGAAGTTGGGAAATGAAGACGTTGCAAATATATTGGGATCACTACCTTTAACACTACTCATGCTCTAAATCACCAGGGAGCATAATTAGCAATTAAGAAACTCCCATTTGAGATGATTAACTATTAGGGAAAATCCCATTTGAGAATAAAGTGCTTTAATCTTGAACTTACCAAAACATTTCACTAATCACCATGATTTAATCAAGTTTGAGTAATCAATAGCTACAACATGTTGCACAATACCAGATACCAATATTGACATACACATACATTACATGAAAAAAGACCACCCGTTTCACTTGATGTAGTAGGGGAGGTTCAACCCATACAGAAGGAAATAAGCCCAAATAACCCCGGATATCCCACCAAAGAAGAAACCGCCCGAGAAGCCAGCCCACCCCTCGGCTGTCTGTAGTTTGTCGGCCTCCTTCTTACGACCTGTCAGGGTTAGCGTTGGTGCAATTGAAGGCTCCCCTTCGTTGAATGAAGCAATTCCATACATCGTGAGACATATGCTTAGTATGACCACTAAACCAGCAGCTGCTAAGGAACCGGCCGTCCCTGCATAGGGTGTGTTCCTTAAGGGCCCAGTCTTGACGAAGGGTCCAACGAGCAAGAAACCATGTGCTAAACCAACCTCAATTCCCCTTAGGAGTGGGCTGACTGAGGTGCGGTAGGCTGGGAGGTTGGAGAGGTACCACGCAATAAGTGGGCTCGATGTTATCGGGGTCTCGAGCCCTCCGATGAATGGGTCACCATTTAGAGGCTCGATCACTTGGTACTGGTACATTGCATTGTCAATCAACTAACATTGTTTAACGGCGATATACATGATGATTGTGGGTAACTATATTGTGATGGAAAAGTATATAATGAGATCATTTATCTTTCATACAATGTGTTTACAATTAATCTTGACTTGGATGGTTGTATTTATTCCATTGACCAAGCTCAAAGTTCAGAACAAATTTTCTCGAACTTTGTAACACATCCAAACTATCAAATTTCATATTAGATGGTTATAAATAATGGTAATCTCTTTGTACCAAAAGAAAATGATCTCATTATATACGGTCCCTATTCAAATAAGAGCCATCACTGTCTCCCTATTCAAATAAGAGCCATCACTATCTAATCAATAGGCTGGAAAAGGACGATGGAAGATGGGGGCATTTCAATAAAACGCCTCACCATCCATTCCCACCGATAACATTTACAAAAAAAAAAAAAAAAGAAATAATAGAAGAAGAAAGAAGGGAAAAGAAAACCGATACCATTTCAAAAAAAAAAAACAAAAAAAAGACAAGAAGGGAAAAGAAAAGAAAGAGAAGAAGAAGGAAGGAAAGACCGGCATAAAATTTGTTGGTCCCCTTTCCCTGCATTGCCGTCCAGGATATTGATTATGGTCATAAGGACCATTATGAGCATATTGTGGCTGTGATCCTAAGGATCATAATATACTTTGCAACAGGGGAGCATCCACCATCCATTCTGGTGATGGGGGATGAAGCCTAGCTCATTGAATTCCATGACTACAGTACAAGTTAGTCACACCTATCTGTCACTGGTTAATAAGATGATGATTTCATATATCAAGCAATGGGCGTGACACCAAATAATGGGCAATACTGGCATATTATAACGGTAACAGCCCCTGGAATAAGGAGTTATCAGGGATCTTTAAACCTTGGTACTCGATGAATGATAATCCAGCTCCACACACTTCTCCAAAATCTGGTCACGTATATGATTGAATATAATGGAATTATTTATTTTGATACAAGGTGGTCACAATTAATCTTGACCATTAGATATGAAATTGGGTGGCCCTATTTATTGCCCTGATCAAGTTCAAAGTTCAAAATAAATTTTTTAGAATTTTGTCATGCATCCAAGCCATCAGATTTTACATCGAATGGTTAGTAATTACGATTTTTTTTTATAAAAGGCAAATGATCTCATTATATACAATCCCCTATGTAAACTAAACCGGAGAGAGAAGTGACCATGTTTATTATAATATACATAACAAAATGATGGTACATTATTTTGTGCTGGTTTTTTTTAATCCAAAGAAAGAGTTAGAGATTGGAGGAGTTTATATTTGGTACCTTTTCAGTCTGGATGGCTTTCACAGTAAAACCAGAATAAGAATAAGAAGCTCTTCTTCTTGAACTCAATGGCGTCAAGGGCAATCCTGAAATAATTCCCTTGGGGGAAGACAAGCCCCCAAGAAATGCATTTCCCCTCCTGCTAAGGCTCACAGCTGAAGAAGCAGATGCTACAGAGGCTGCCATTCTTTCTCTCTCTCTCTCTCTCTCTCTCTAGAGGAGGAGGAAGGTTATAATTTGAAATAAGAAAATAATATGTAAAAATAAACACTTCTTCTCTGCCTATGCTTCCTTGACGGATCAGGGGAAAGAATGGGTGGTTTTTATTGGAGGAGAGGTGCCAAAAGGCTTATCCTTATCCCACGAGAAATGAAATCAGGCCTTGGAGTCCACAAGGAAAAGAATGCCTTTGTATGACAAGAAAAATATCCAATGCATCCCTGTGGCCAGTGATCCACCTAAGATTTCCTAACAATTCTGCCTTGGGTTGTCAGCGTAGGAAGGCCCTTTTGGTTATTTCCTTAGTTGTTTCTCAACTTTGGGCCCGAACTATAGGTAGCAAGCTTATTGATTGAAACGCGATTTTTCAAAAAATCTCTTCTTTTGAAATCCGTTAAAGAACTTTGATTTTTTTCAAAAGATCTTCAAAAAATTATTTTTTTAATGAAAATGATATGAATATATTTTTTTGTTAAAAAAAACTTCTGCCCTGCAACTTTCTCTTCATTGATTCTAGATTTTGGTTAAAGGTAAACACCTTAAAAGTGGGAGTAAATTAAGAATTTTAATCTAATAAAAAATTTCAAAAAAAAAAATCACCAATATGTTCATTACCCAAGAAAATAAGCGCAAGCTTTCTATGTTTCCATAACAGCATAAAACTTCTATATTTCCCCCTATCCAACAGTCCATTCTAAATGGACGGCTTAGATGGCCCCAATCACAATGTCAACGTCCATATTATTGTACTTTTAATTTTTCTTATACAAAACATTTTGACGACAACATTTGGGCGTCCAATCCTCACTTGAACTCGCACCTATAAAAAATATATTCCCAACAAAATAAAATATCTAGAATGCCCCTGAAAGTTTTAGGGGTATTTTGTTCATTTTATTTTATCAAAAATATTTTTTTAATATTTTATTTAAGTGCTCCCCATTGAGATTATGACACGTACTAAATTTCATATTCATATAATTAATACAAAAAAATTAGAAATAAAATACTCTAAGACGAATGGTTAGAGGCTCACTTGATCTAAATTGGACGTCTGGATATCAGGGGAAGTACAGAAGTTTTATGTTGTAGGGGAAGCTTAGAAACCTTTCCCAAAAAATAATCCATCAAAACAACTATATATCTCATAATAATAGTTAAAGTTAGAGGAAGAGTCATCATCATAATTATCAAAGCATTCTCAACTAATTGGGGTTAGTTGTACAAATCTTGATCTACCATTATGCTCTATTATAAGTCATACTCTCAGTAAGGCAATAAATCTCTATATCTTTTCTCATTACTTCCAACCATGTCTTTTTGGGCCTACTCTTTGCCCTTTTTTAGCCTTCCACTTGAATGAACTCGTACCTCTTAACAGGTTATGTACTTGGTTTGCACCATACGTGGTCAGCCCACCTAAGTTTACTTTCTCTCATCTTATCGCCTATTAATGTCAAACTTCAATTTTCTTAGATGTATTTATTTTGAATTCTGTCCATTCTTATCTTGACGCTCATCCAACTCGATATACAACATACATGGCCAGCCCACCTAAGTTTACTTTCTCTCAGCTTGTCGCCTATTGGTGTCAAACTTAAATTTTCTTGGATGTATTCATTTAGAATTCTATCCATTCTTGTCTTGACACTCATCCAAGTCAATATCATCATCTCAACTGCACCTATTCTATGGGAGTTAGAGGAAAAGTAACCCAATAAAATATATTTGTTTTCTCTAAACACAATGCCGTTATAAAGAGCAACAGAGAGATTTAGTGACAACTAAAGATTTAGGCTGCTAAGAATTCAGGATGAGCTTTGAATATTTAGATGTCCTCATGTAGTTTATTGTTTTCTTTCTATATACAGAAGTTTGATTAATTTCACCTTTTTAAAAAAAATTTATTGATGATGTATACAACATAAAATTTTGGATAGACCAGTATTTTACATTTTTGGGTTTTTGTATTTTAGTTAAATGCAATTCTTTACTAAAGGCCTTTTTTATTTTTTCTTTGAACAATAATCTCATTTTTTGGGTCACCAATCTTATAATAGTATGGTTGTTGTTTTGTGTCGTGACAACAGAGTAAACATTGTTGCAATATTTATTGAAAGTTTAGATAAAGTTTTTGCGATATGTATTTTTACCCGATTTTCCACCTTCAAATTTTTGGAGTAAAACCGATTTATTACCTAAATTTTGGTGTATTGATACATTATTATTCTTTGACTTGTTTACTAAAAATGACTATCCAAGCCAAATAAAACCAAGTTCAACTTCCAAAAGCAAATAAAACTTACTCAGCTTTCATTGAATATATAGAAAGAAAATTGTTGATTTCTTACTTTTTGGTTGGTGCTCCAAGGTGTGAACAGATATGGAAACTGTGAACAAATATGGTATCCTGCATAGGCACGATTATGTTGTACACAACTATAACAACCTGTATCTTGCATAGGCATGATTATGTTGTGCCCAACTATAGCAACTTGCAGAGGCATGATTGTGTACTATATATTTATGGAAACTATATTTTCTGGATTTGGAAATCATTAAGTGTACATGCAATTCTTCATGTATAAATCCGCCATGGTAAATCAAGTTTGTATCAATAGAAACAATATTTCCACACAAGGGAGGTGCAGAGATTGTTCTTTTTCATAGAAGAATGTTGATTTCTCTTTCATATAAGAGTACATTTTTTTCTAGCCTTTGTGGATGATAAAAATCATGGTTTGATAAAAATAAGGGAAAGAAAAATAATGTAGAAAAAAAAAAAACGGAAATACAAATGTTTACGTGGTTCGACAAATTGCCTACATCCACAAGACAACAAAGTTCTCTCCCACTAATAAAAAAAAATACCATACAAGTATGGATAATACACAGGATTACAAGCTCTCTCAAGCCAATAACAAGGTCTTTAAGAATACCCACCTAATGACTAACCCAATGACTAAAGAGCTAACCCTTCTCTCTTGCATACTTTTTCCATATTGTTCTCTCTACAAAAGATACCTCTTATAAAGAAGAGTCTCAAGGCCATCCACGTGATAGCGTCTCTCTCCCATTCTTATTTTGATTTGGTTTCCTATCCTATTATTGGGTTCAACAGTAGATTTCTATCTCCCACAAAAATCATGCACTATCCATGCCTCCAAGATTTTGTACTAGATCTTCTCTCATGGCATATCAAAGAAACCACATAAATAGGATCTTCCTTTAGGAAGTTTATCTCAACAATGACTCATGTACCTCTTTCCTTATCTAAAAGACCCACGTGAGTTTTTTATTAAATGGGATTTAGCTTCCCACATTAATAGGAAATAATGTAGTCATTAAAATGTCATCCACCAAAATAGGATATCTCCCAAACTAGCGGAAATTGGCTTCAGGCACCAACATTCTCCCACTTGAAGACAGGTCTCCATTCTGACTAGCCGGTTCCAAGAAATTGATGCCCACCGGTTACTAATCATCAGGTAACTACAAGGCCCATGAAAGATCTACATCAAGTGAACTTCTCTTTCCCTATGGGCATAGTAACATATCCACTGGATTGTCATTAGTATGAATTTTTTGCAATAAAATTATCCATCTTCCATCACATCATAAATAAAGTGATACTAAACATCAATATGTTTAGTCTTGTCATGGAAAGCTGAATTCTTTGCTAAAAACAAGGCATTATGGTTATCACAATGAAGCAGAATACCTTCTTGCACAACTCAAAACTCACCAAGTAATCTATTTAGCCAAATTGCTTCGTTAGATGCATGAGCAAGTAACATGTATTTGGCCTCTATAGAAGACAACGCCACCACAGACTACAACATTGATAACTAACTGCACCACCTCCCAAAGAAAAACATATCCGATAGTAGACATTCCTTTATCCAAATCACCTGCAAAGTCAACATTGACATAACCAGTGACTTTCAAATCCATTCTACTATAACAAATACTTGCATTACAAGTTCCTTTCAAATACCAAAGGATCCATTTTACAGCGATCCAGTAATCATGGCCAGGATTTTCCTTATACTCACAACTCCCACTGGTTGTGCTATGTCAGGTCTAATGCTAACCATTGCAAACATGAGGCTCCCTATTGTAGATGAATACGGTACTCGAGACATCTGCATCTTCTCTACTTCGGTGTTAAGACATTGTTTCGAATACAACTTCATATGCACATGAAATGGGGTACTAACTAATTTGACATTCTGCATATTGAAGCGTCGCAGAACCCTCTCCACATAACTCTTTTGAGTTAATCAGATTTTCCTATTTTTATGTTTCTAAGTACGCTCATCCCAAGAATTCAGTTAACGGCTCCCAATTCTTTCATCTAAAATTCCCTAGCCAACTGAGCTTTAATTATTGCAATATTCTCCTTGCTTGGTCCTACAACAATTATACAATCGACATATAATAACAAGATAGTAAAGCTTCCATCACTATATCTGTGGAAATAAGCACAATGGTCAGCTTCACATCTATGAAAATTCAAGTTCAACATGAAAGAGTCAAATCATTTGTACCAACACCTCGGCTCCTTTTTCAACCCGTACAACAATTTCTTGAGCCTACAAACCAAATTCTCTTTACCTTCCTCAATAAAACTCCCAGGTTGATATAAATTTCTTCTTTCAAGTCACCATGCAAAAATGCAGTTTTCATATTTAATTGTTCCAACTCTAAATCAAGCACAACGGCTATAGTCAAAACAAATCTAATAGTGGACATGCGCACAACAGAAGAAAAAATTTCATCAAACTTAATTCCTGATTTCTGAGCATATACTTTCACAAGCAATCGAGCTTTGTACCTTTCAACAGTATCATGAGGACCATCTTTCTTCTTGGAGACCCACATGCACCCAATTGTGCTTCGCTTCTCTAGTAGTTTGATGAGATCCCATTTTTTATTTTTTCATGGGGCCTCCTCCATCTCTTCCTCCATAGATGCTCTCTATTGACTGGCTTCAATGACCTCACATGCCTCATGATAATAAACTAGTACACCCTCTTCTGTTAGGCAAGCATAAGACAAGACATGGTTGCTAAGCCTCACAAGAGTCTTTTT